AAAAAAAAAAAAAAAAAGTGTTTGTCCAGCTGCTGGAGGGACGCCGCGAGGAAGCGGGGAAGGCTGTTAATTAAAATCGTGATTCGTCCCTTTTTTCCTTGGATCAAATGAGTTGTACACGACTGTCGACACGGCCAAACAAACAGCGGGGATGCCAGCGTACATGTTTGCTAACCTGCCGGGCTGCGAGGAGAAGTGGGGGGGGNATCAGAAGGTCGGTGGTTTGATCCCCGACTCCCTCAGGCCACATGTCCAAGTGTCCTCGGGGCAAGAAACTGAGCCCCACATTGCCCCTGACGCTGTTCCATCAGTGTGTGAATGTAAAGCACTTTAAGTGATCAATTAGACTATAAAGTTGCTGTATATGTGCAGTCCATTTACCGTTTACAGCTCCTCCAGTGTAAAGGTCTGTGTCCATGTGTAGTGTGATTATAGATCAGCTCTAGCTTCTATATTAATACTGTGAAAGTATCAAAGCCTCAGTCCACAGAGAAATGCACACAGCCTGTATTCAGAAACTGAGCCTTAAAACCAGCCGTCAGGACTTCTGGAACTTTGTGATGTCACAACAAAGCAGTCACCAAGCCCCGCCCACCTGGACCCACCATCCAAACCTTGCAGGATTTGGTTTCTCTGAGTGTTTTTACCTGAAATCTGCTTTATTTTTATTGGATCACTCAGAAAACAGTCAGCCAATCAGAAGAGAGGCTCAGAGCCTCCTCTCTTCTGATTGGCTCACCGACCTGTTGTTACTAGAGCTCCAGAGAGAAGCCTGAGAGAGGAGATGTAAAACTACACTGAGATGGTTTTTATATCTTCTGATGGATCAACACTTCAAATAAAACACAGAAGAAGAAGAAACATGGAGCTTTAGTTTGGATCAGTTTCATGTTCTGACCTGGTCACTGGTTGAAAGTCGTTCTCCAACTCAGACAAAGTCTTTTATTTCAATTGGTCAGGAGACAAAGTTTCTTCAAAATCCAACATTCATTTGTCTGATTTTCATTCTCACTCGGAGCTCTCGTGTCACTCGGCTTAGAAAGAGAAGCCATTAATGAACAAGAGCCAAACGGTATGGCTGATCAGAAAATGCTCATGTTGCTAATTTTTTAAACATAGTTTTTGTAGGTGCTGATAAATAATGTTCTCCTGACAGACTTTAGGATGACGTGTAAAACTGCATTTACTCCTGGAGTTTTTGAGCCTCTAAAACTGAGACCTTTGGAAACGATGAGGTCACACCCATGGTCTCTCCTGATTGGCTGTCATCAGCCTGGACTACCAGTGGTGAATACAACATGAGAATGAATGACAGAGTTACTGACCTTGTTGTCTTTGCAGCTGTTGTTGGTTTTACTTACATTCTGCATTTTAATGCTACAACTGTCTTTGCTGTCCCCCGCTCAGAGGATTTTGTGCGACCAATCAACTACAGAGGAGACGATCTGCTTCCTCGTGTGTGTTTTCAGGTGTGTTATGGACGGAGATCGTGTCGGATGCAGAGCTGTTACGCCGTTTTGTTGAACGTTGAACTAAATCAAACATCTCCTCCAACACGAACAACCACACAGGTCGTTTTTTTTTCAACCCTCTGATACAAACCCACACGACTGTCTCCTGAAATAGCGCCCCTACGGTGGCATGCGTATACCGCACCTCTGTTGTCATGGTTACCACACAACAAACACTGGACTGTACCGAGAGCAGCGTACCTACATCCGTTGCCATTGTTACTAGGATAACGGTCACGGCTTGCTTAGCTTTAGGAAAAGATGGTGATTTGGGTAAAAAAGAAGAAAAAAAGTATTTCCTCAACATCGGACAATCTTTGTTGCCATGGTTCCCTTCGCTCCTGTCACCATTATCACGACCACTAGATGTCGCCTAGCAACAAAACCTGACTATGATGTCATAATAACCTGCTGCACCTGACGAACACAAACCTATATATATATATCCCATGTGTCCATGAGTCCAGTCACTTTAAAGATTTAACCCTCTGATGTGGACGGACGGACGGACACTGTGTCTCCGTGATGTTTCTGTTTAGATTTTTGCGATAGTACGGTCAGTTTTTATTTAAAACAAAAGTAGCTAAAGGCTTTTAAAAGTCACTACATTTTGCGAGTGTTTGCCGACAACAGCTCAGCAGGAAACCTCCTGAAAGAGGGGTTGATGAGCACTGGGTATTTACAATGTGTCAGCACTGAAGTTATTACGTTATATACATTTCTACTTACAAAAAAAAGGGGCATTTATTACATATTTATCTACTATTTTCTTCATACATGCCACAGTTTTTAGGAACCCAACACCACTGAACCCATTTCAAGCACCGAAACAGTTCGTCCACGTCAGTAGAGGTTTGTTTTGGGGAGAATTTGGGCCAAATTATCTCTTTACAGAAGGAGAGAGGGGGGGGGTCAAGCTGAGATTGTATTATGTTATATGCAAATACCTTTAAAAGTGCATTTAATAAATGATGTAAAAATCAAGAAAATACCCTCAGACCTCAGAGGGTTAAAACTGAAGTGGGAACACAGAGAGGAACCAGCAAAAGATTCACAGATTTACGTCACGTCCCCTGAAGAATCTACAGGAAGTGAGTTCAAGTTTAAGTTTATAGACTGAACATTTAATCCATCAGATCTCTCTGTGTTTACACTGGGAAGCTTCCAGGTGTGAACATGTGTGTACCTGTGTGTGTGTGTGTGTGAGACACTGGTTAAAGGCAACAATCATTTATTTATAAATCAAAGTGTGGCGAAACCTGCGGTTAATCAACGATGATTAAACGTGTCCTCGTTTACGCCTTCAAACCCGTTCGACCGGTTCGGTTTAATTAGTTCTAAAAGCAGTTTGGTCGACTCGACACGATCGCCGTAGAAACAACAAACTTATCTCATGTTTTAACAAGACTTTATTATAAAGACACGAATGTACATCTTTCAAATTTCAATGGAATACTGACATTACGTGTCTAATTCACATTTTTTTTATTTTTCTTTCCTCTGCAAAGAACAAATAGCAAAAAAAAAAAAAAAAGAAAGAAAGAAAAAAGAAAAAGCTTTCACCTTTTTATAAACAAGTGCTGCAATTCAGTCTCCAAATACAACACCCACGGCCGGACGACGAGATTCAAATAACATCAGCAACCTGGAAATCATAGCAGCATCATGTTTTTTGCCCCCCCCCCCCCCCCCCCCCCCCAAAGAGTCCAAATCATGACTTTTGTGTTTCATGTGTCAAAAGGATCTTTTAGTTTTTCTTAGTCGAATAATCTCCAGCGTGTTTGTCGCTCGCTGAGATGATCCCAGACCGTCAAAGACCTTCAACACGTCGTTAACGGTTCGGTTTCTCTCGAGTTCTGGAGTAGAAAAATAATCCCGGTCGAGTCGATTCCGCCGCCGCCAACAAGAGCCGAACCCCGAGGACGTCGGCTCGGGGCGTCAGGCGTCTGCGTCGCTTCACTTCGTTCACAAATAAACTTCTTAAAAATGTCTCTACTGTTATTTTTAAAGGATTTTCAAAAATAAACCACCAACAACAAAAGGAATACTTCTTTGAAAGTGTAGAAGAAGAGGAACACAGGAAGTCACAGCACTTGGAAACGCCATGACGCCTGGTCTTTGTAGTCCAAACAGTCGGAGGCGTTGAAGTTGAGCTTCCAGGCCGACGCCGCCGTCTGCTCTTTGTAATCCAGACAGTCCGTGGAGTTGAAGGCGAGGCCGGGCGCGCTGTACGCCTGGTGGTGGTGCGGCGGGTGGTGGTGATGGTGGTGGTGCCCCGACGTCTGCCCGATGTGGTGGTGCGGGTGTCCCGACATGGAGCTGCCGGTCATGGGGCTGAGCTGGTGCGGGTGGTGCGGGTGGTGGTGGGAGTGCATGGGCGCCAGGTACGAGCCGCACTCCACCCCGCCGAAGTAGGAGCCGGACGCCGAGGCCGGGTAGCCCTGGCTGTACGCCGCCGCCGTTTGGCTGTAGGACACCGGGTAGGAGGGCGTCCCCCCGGTGGCGGAGGACGACACGGAGCGCTGCATGCAGGAGGCGCTGGTAGGGGCGGCGGGGTCGGGCAGCGTGGCCGGAGCCGGGGCCGGAGAGATGGGCGCCGGGCTCCAGATGGACGACACCGGCGCTGTGACGGAGGTAGAGGTGCTGATCAGACCGGGACCGCCGAGACCGGAGGCGACGGAGGAGGAGGAGGAGGAAGAAGAAGCGGAGGAGGTGGAGGAGGCGGAGCTGGACACCGCCGGCGGGGTGAACTGGCCGCTGCTCTCCGAACCGGTGCTCTCTCTGGTCGGAGACGACTTCTTCTTCATGGGTTTCACCTTGGCGCTGCTGCTGCTCTGCTGCTGCTGCCGACACTTGGCCCGTCTGTTCTTAAACCACACCTGAGGAGGGAAGAGGGGTCAAAAGGTCAACGCCACGTTAAAAAAAAAAAAACCTGACAGAGCAGGAAGTGAACACACAGAGATCTCGTAACTCTGACCTTTGACCTTTACTGCTGCTCTTCGTGAGGACGACAGTTTCACTGGAGTCGCTAAATAACTTCCTGTTTGTTTCTTTACGTCACATTCACAACACACTTTAAAGGACCAGCTCGCCAAAATAAAAGTTTGCTTTAATTTCATGGTTTTATTTGAGTTTCCTGAGGTGACAGGACTCCAGCGCGTCGCGGTCACAGCTTTAAATAAAGATTTGAATAATTCAACAGCGAAAACAGTGTCTCTGTTGGACGCACGGTTTACGGAGGATTTTTTTTTTTACGTGATTATTTGCCTCCGTTGTTTTTGTGACGGAGGCAGAAAGAAATGTCAGAGACACCGTCTGCGTGACGAGTAGAGGCAAGTCAGATTTAATTCATTTTATTTGTTTATTCTTTTGGATGAACTGACCCTTTAAACCTTGTTGTTTTAAGAGTGTGTGAGCGTGAGGAGCGTCAGACACAACCTGATCAGTATCAGAAAAACTTCATTGATCCCAGGGGGAGACTAGGTGATTAGGTAATTAGGTAATTAGTAATGAAATATTAATAAAAACCACATGATGAAATATTTGTCAGAATAAATGATGAATATTTTCAGTAAATTCAGGAAATTAAATCTTAAAAATGAAAGGTTCAGCTCATGTAGGATGGTTTTTCAAAGTAAAAGACCAAAAACTCCACCTAAATAACTTCAACTAATACCTTCAAAATAATTTACGACATAAAAAGATAATGTGATTATTTAAGTTTAGGGAGGATACATTTTACATTTCCTGATTTTTATTTTTATTTTTTTGTTTTCACCAGGAACAATAATTCAGGATTTAATCTTTATCTAATTATATATAAATATGTGTCAATTCAGTCAATAATCCAAATTAACTAAAAACTGAACTGACATTTACAAAACTTTTATTTTTCATGAACCTTTTCGAAGTGAATGACGAGATCATTTATGTTTTCTTTTGGAAAATTCTCTCAAATTGCAGTTAAAGTCTCCGAGAACACTTTGACTAATATATGTAACGTTTAAAAATAACAATAAAACAAAGTTATAATAATAAATGTTATAATTAAAGTAGCTATTATTAGCAGTGTTAGTAGCAGGAGGCCTGTTGCAGCAGCTTTAAAAAACAGAAATAACACCCACTTCTTCTTTTGTACTGACAGCACTGATACTTGTGTGTGTCAGGGTTCATTAGTGAACGCTCCGTCAGCAGCAGCCATAATTACAGCTCAGAGCCCAGCAGAGGGCCGCTGCAGCCGGGACACCGACCAAACCCCTCTCCCTCTGATTAAAGACTTGACTCTACTTGATTCTACTTGATCAATAACAACTGAACTTAATGAAGCTGATCCTGCAGAGGCCTGGAGCAGGAAGTCCACAGACCAGGACGGTAAAACCTGGACTCAGTGTTGGATGAGAGGAAACTTATACAAACTCATTTCTATATTTCTGGCATTTTTTCCTTCTTAGTTTTTCTTTTTTTCTTTTCTTTTCTTTTTTACATAAAGGGAAATTAAATTTAAATGAAAATGTAAATAAACCTGATGCAGGTGGAATATTTGGTGGAATTCAGCAGAAACAAACTTTAATTCTCCATAAGTTACAGGCATTTTTCAGAGTTTATAATTAATATCTTCGTTTTCTCTCATTAATTAATCCCATAATAACATGTAGGCTGACTCTCACCTGCACTCTGGACTCCGGCAGGTTGATTTTCAGCGCCACCTCCTCCCTCATGAAGATGTCCGGGTAGCGCGTCTTGGCGAACAGCGACTCCAGGATGTCCAGCTGCGTCCGGGTGAAGGTGGTCCGCTCCCGGCGCTGCTTCCGCGGGTTGGCTGGAAGAAGAAGAAGAAGAAGAAGAAGAAGAAGAAGAAGAAGAAGAAGAAGAAGAAGAAGAAGAAGAAGAAGAGTTCATCATCGGTAACAACAACAGCTCAGATCAACACTGTTTTCACCATTATTAACGACGATTACACATTTTAATTCGCATTGAGTTTCATGTTATTTGTGATTATTAATTTAACGTGTGTTAACGATCTTATTAAAAAGTTTGGACTTTTAGAAATAGTTTTATCCTCATGGATGCACAGATTTCAAAATAAAGCTCTCAAAATGTCGCAAAAATACAAATACACAAACTTAATTTACGGCCCCAAACGCACCGAGAGCACAGACTCTCAGTCTGTTCAATAACAAACTAAACAGCAAGCAGAAACTACACTTTATAACTTGTAAAAGTTTTCAGAATAATATCTCTCCGTAGGAACATTTTACTGTGGAGTCACACCGTAGAGATTTATCAGATATTATAGGATCATAATAAAATAAAACATAATTAAATAAAAAAAAATACGTTTCAAATCATTAACGGAAAAAAGTTTGGAATATTTTGAGGAAATTATTTTCTATTATCTAAATTAATAACAATTATAAGAAGTGAATTGTGCTTTATTTCACTTAATCTGTGTTTTGAATATTGTTTGCGCGTGGTGGGGCCGTACCCGGGTATCCCACAGACGGGTGCAGCAGGTCCATGGCGGCTCCGCTCAGGCCCAGTCCGTTCATCCCGTACGGGGCCTGTTTGAGATAAGACATCATGCTAACAGCACGGAGGGGAGACCGCAGTCTGGACGGACGGAAGAGGCGCAGATCCCCCGGGGTTCAGGCGCTCGGCTCGGCTGCTGCAAGAGGCAGAAACACGGTGAGAATAAAACACGTGGTTTAATAAAAATCTATATTATCAATAAACTTTATCCTCTCAACTGAAATAATCAGATTTCAAGACACGGACTTTCTGCCTGGAGGCCTGTCACCTCTCATTTATGTGATCTTACAAAATAAGACACATCTTTTTTAACACAATAAAAGTCTCAGATCAAACACATTGTTATGTAACAGGAAATATAAACGATCCTGCTGCTGCTTCCTGATAAAAAACCTTTATGTTTGAGATTTTGAGTGTTTAGAAAAATGTGATTTCACAATAAATGTCCTCTGAAATAATCAGACCAGTTTTTTATGATAAGACAGAAAAAATAAACATCTGATCTGAAACAAAGAAGCTCCTAGAAATGAACTGGATGAATTATAGGGGTGAAAAATATATATTGTGTTTTATGTAAAAATTGATCTGCAGCTGCAGGTTAAACTTATATTAAAGTTTTAACGTGTAAATTAAAGGAGGTCCAGACCTGGAGAAAGAAGGTCCAAGGACCGAATCTCTAACGGGTGAAATTCATCAGGAGGATGTGAAAAAAAATCTGAACAGTCAAATGAATGTGGACTGAAGATGACACCAGTCAGTCCCAGTCCAGGTCCCAGTGTGAAACCCTGAATATTGGACGTTTCCCGCCTCTAATAGCCCCGTTATCACTCAGATCTTCATTACGTTTTAATTAATTCAATAGCTCACAATTAAATCGACCTGTGGAGACACACGTTTAAATTACAGGCCGCTTGAGACTTTTCTCACCTGCACATGATCTGCACGAGCGTGAGAGCACGAGATGATTTATTCACACAAACACACACACACACACACACACACACACACACACACACACACACATAGACTGCCCAGAAATAAAATATATCTTACTGTAGCTTTATTAATATAATTATAATTATTATTTTACCCCTGGCTTCTGTGCTACAATTAGAATATTGATTATTATTGGCTGTTTATTTCGTCTTTTACACTAGTTTGCTAAATGTTCCTGTGCTGACTTGTTGCTAATTTATTTAATTTTTTTAGGCCTGTTTATTTATTATTTTTCCTACTGTATAAAGCCTATATATGGGTATGTTTTTGTTTATTTATATCACCCCTGCAGTTGTTTTTCCCACGAAGAACTCTTGCAAAATCAACATAAACTAAATATTGTAACTGAGTTTTGACAGAGAAAAATAGGCCTGTTAATAAATGCTCAAAGGTGAAGAAGAGTCAGAAAATGTAAATTAAACTAAATAAACTTAAACGTACAGAATGCACGTAAATAAACGTACAGAATTTACGTTTATTGACGGTTGTAAATCATGAAATATAAAGAATAAAAACATTATAATAGGCCTAAATAAAAATCAATAGAAAAGTAATTAGTTTTCTATTGTAACTCTAATTCTTACTGGTGTTTTCTGCAGCTTTAATAAACTGTTGTCTTGGTGTAAAACAATGTATTTAGATAAGAATTTCCATAATCCAGCGGCTCCTTTCAGCAGGTAACAGCCCAGATTTGAGCCTCACAGCGGCGGTGAAAGGAGCCGCGGGCCTCCTGATGGATCAACTGAGGCTAAATAAAGCCAGACTTATTTCCATAACCGCAGGAAGGAGCCGAATCACGCAATGTAAATGCGTCAAAAACTGTGTGCAAATGAAGTGCCATTACAATTTAGATGAGATCTACAGGGCGACAATTAGCGGAGTCTTATCAGCAAAGTGACCGGGACAGGAGGCGACGGGCCGGGCCGGGCCGGGCCGGGCCGGGCCGAGGAGCTCAGATACAGGAGCTAACAGGGTCCACCTGAACCAGATCAAGTGATTAATAAAGTCAAACAGGAGAATTTAATGCGTTTAATGCGCAAAGTTCAGTTTGATTTTCACGTTATAGACAAAGCAAAAACATTTGATGAGGTTTTATTTGATCACGTGTCATATTTTCTATTTTATAAGCCTTTAATTTATTTAATTTAATTTTAGTTTTAGGAGAAAAAGCTTCCAAAGATGCTTCCGATGAAAAGTTGATGATGAAATTTAGACTGATATTATTCAGTAAAAACAAAAGCAGCAGGAAGAATTAACCTGAGGAATAAAGTCAGAGAGAAGAAGCGGGTTGAGGTCTCACCTTCTTCACGCTCCTTTCAGAATAAAAAAAAGAAGAATCCGGTTAAATGCGAAAAGAGTGAGATCCAGAGTTTAAGGAAATATCCACACACATGGAGGAAGTGTCGCTCGCTCGCGCTCAGCTCCGCCTGCAGCTCACACCTGTCCGCCGGCTTTAAACACGAACATTTCACCGAGGGAAGAACCAGAGAAATAAAATAACAGTGGGCCGTCCGCCTCTCTCTCTCTCTCTCTCTCTGTCTCTCTCTCTCTCTCTGTCTCTCTCTCTCTGTCTCTGTCTCTCTCTCTGTCTCTCTCTCTGTCTCTCTCTCTCTCTCTCTCTCTCTCTCTCTCTCTGTCTCTCTCTCTCTCCCTCTCCAGTCGGTGTTGACTGATGCGGGATTGATGCTCGTCTCCGAGGCCCGCGCCTCTACGAGTCAAGAAAGCACGCGGGTCTGAGCGCCTCCCAGCCAATCACAGCGCTCCGAGGGCGACCAATCAACCTGCGAGCTTGGCCTCCCCGAAACCCCCACACCGCCACCACCACCACCTCCTCCTCCTCCTCCTCCTCCTCCTATTTTGGAAAGGTATGAACGACAGAAATCACGTGACACCAGGGAAAAGTTTGGGTCAGAAAGTTGGAGGAGAAGCTGAAAGTTCACGATTCACGCGCTGACTTTTAGTGAGAAATAATAAATATTAAAGAGTTAAAATAATGTTTTTAATATTTTATTAACAGCAGCAGATGAAACGTGTGTCTCAGTGTTTCCTCATAAAGCAGCAGAAAAATTAAAACGACAAAAAAAACTAAAACATAAATGATCTTAAAGCAGTTTAATAAAATGTGTTTAATGACAAACCAAGAGACACTTTATTTTGTCCAGTTTAGGCTTCCATACATTTATAACAGGCGCCTAATTACATTTCAACCTGCTGTATAAAACTACAGATAATATGTTATATTTATATATTTTTTAATCCTTTTTTTATCCCAGGTTTTAATTTTGTTTTTTATTTTTCAAGAAAAAAATAAACTTGGCAGCAAAAAGCTTCCAGCAGCTGAGTGATGACACTGTCACAACTTATTTTATTTAAATAACCTTTAACTCTTAAAGACCTTAAACACAGTGCTATCAGCTGATCATAAATAAGAACTGCACTGTAAAAAAATAAAGTATGTAAATCCTCACTTGTGAAAAAGAGAGGCCTAATTATTGAAGGATGATTATTGATTGAATAATTAGCTTCCAAATGGTGTATAAATACTTTCAAAATTAAATGCTTGCATATTGGAAAAAGCAAAATACGCAAACAAACATAAAAATAAATGATAAATTAAAATCCTAAACAGGAAGTAGGAGAAATCTTAAATAAATAAATAATCTTGTAACCGAAGGGAAAATGTGGTGTTGTTGTCGAGGGAGATGAATGTGAATAAACTGAGAATCTCTGTTGCCACATTTTCCTCCGACTCCGTCTGTCTGTCTCCGACGGCAACGACAAAGCCAGTGATTGATCACAAGTATCAAGATATCAAATGGACGCAGTCATTGTTGTTGTGAGGCTTTTTGGGCTCTAATCCCAAATTGCAGGAGTATTTTCTTAATACTAAGCCCGTAAATCCAGGGATCAGGCAGCCTAAAGAGGTGTGTGTGTGTGTGTGTGTGTGTGTGTGTGTGTGTGTGTGTGTGTGTTGATTGGTGTGGTGTCGGTCGAGTGGTGGGGGTTAAGTTTGGAGAGGCTTCTCTTGTCTGTGCTTATTAAAAGCATGATGCATAAAATCCCAGGTCGTCAGAAAGCATGCAGGAGGCTCCGGCCCGGGGGCTGCTGCATGCTTTCCACTTTATAAAACACACACACACACACACAGAAAAGCTGCCGTGCAGACTGAGATCAGGGCAGAAAAAACCTCTTTAAATCAGCTGACTGCAGAGAGTTTTATCTGCAGGCTGGAGGAGGCAGGTGAAGATGGGACAGAGGGAAACACATGGACCAGGACCCTTCAACACACTCCTCCACTGACTGATGAGATCCAGCAGGACAGGAGCTGGTCCAGGTAGGAAAAACTAAAACCTCGTCTGTCTCCTGTTAATTATGAAGCGTTTGTGGTTCAAGTGAGTAAATTTAAAAACATATTTAAAGGCTGAAGTGTCTGTTTTAGGTGTAAAAGGTGGTTAAAATATAAATCTGGAGGGTGTGTGTGTGATCAGCTGTAGAAAAGTATATGTGTGTGTGTGTGTGAAATAAATGGCAGGTTGTTGAGCTGATAGTTTGGGAGAATTTTAGCTGTAAATTAACAAAACTTTATTATTAGAGGCGACAGTGAAAATGTTGAAGGAGCTAAAGTTTGTTTTAAAAAAGAAAAGCAGCGGTGTGAGTGTTTTCAAAGGCCGAAGAACATCAGTGACTTTAACAGTGTTTTAAATAAACCACACACGTCAGATATTGTGTGTGTGTGTGTGTGTGTGTGTGTGTGTGTGTGTGTGTGTGTGTGTGACGTAGGTGTGATTATGTAACACCTCCACACCACATTAACTGATCCACATGCTGCAGTGACATTTCACTTTCAGCCATAATCATCTGTTGTTGTTAATTCACCCGTTTTTTCTAAATAATAATCATCTGTATAATTTGAAATATAATTGTTTAAAACACCAAAATAAAATAATAATTTGTAGTTATTTTAGTTATAAAAGCCTCTGGTCATCGAATTTCCTGTACATATTAATAATCTTTAACTTTTCCTCTAAATCAGCAACAAAATACGTAAAAATGTAAT